TCCAGGTGGGACGAGACAACGTGCGACTGAGGCGCAGGTCCAGCCGAAGTTCCAACTTGCAGCAGCGCCAGATCTCAAAAATGCACCAGATCCGCCTCAAAGAGGAACCCCATGCGTCTGCACAGAGAACAGATCTCTGTCCAACTTGCAAAACGGCTCTACTCCGCCGGGCCACTCCAGCGTGCTGCACCTCTCGTCGAACCTCGGCCGGCCACAAGGGCGCTGAAGACCGACAAAGACATTCGCAGAGAGCACGCTCCGCCGAGACCGGCTCAGCATCACCGCACAATACACGGAATCCTGCTTCACGTGGTGGCCTCACGATGAAAGTCAAAAGCGAAAGACAGGATCTGGACCCACTCCACGCCAAAGCTCGCAGATTCCAGCAACTCAGGGGGAAGCATTTTGCCACATATTCCAGGGCCCGGTTGAATGGCGACACTTCCCAATCAGCTCCGAGATCCTGCAGAGGTGGTCGGGGCCGACTGTAAGACTGTGGGACTGTGTAGGGAGCCGGCTACCGCGTGCTGGCAATTCGAGAACCTGAGCTGTCAAATAGATGTCTCTCCACATCTAGATGGGCGTTTGAAGCTGCCTACTTGTGGCTCCGCTCTGCCAAGCAACGAGCAAATGTAGTAGCACATGGCTCCTCGCGCTGACACTACGAGGATCTTGCGTTCAAAGTTGCAGAAACAAAAACTCGAGGATTCCGGTTGTCCTGGATTTGCGGGATGCACCTTCTGACCGTGCAGGTGCAAGGACTTGGTGAAGCCCAGCGTTTCCTGCGGAGACTTGGAGCCAAGGCCAAAGCTCTCTCTGATCGTCTTCCTGCTTCAGCGTTCAGGGTTTATAGGGTTTAAGGGCTTGCTCTGCAGTCCTCGCCCCAAAAATGCGAGACGAATGCACAAAGGGGAGCAAATTCGCCCTGTTCCACAAGGTTGACGTAAGGCACCTGGCCCAAGTTCTTGCTGGCCCTGGGCCGCAAACTTCGCAGGTCTTGACTTTGCCGGGTGCGATCAAGGCGCGCCGCTGCGCAGGACCACGACCGTCCCCGGCTGCTGGAGTAGCTCCTGGCTCCTGCGAGCGTTGGTTTCGCCCAGCTGCTTCCCGAGCAGCTTTGCAGGGATCGCCGGGATCGCATCCTGCAAATGCCCAACACCACCGTTGATGTCATCGCCAAACCCTTGCATGACTGCTGAGGCTCCATGTTGCCAAGGGTCCTGAGACAGACGGCGTCCGTGCCTGTCCGTGGTGCGCCACCGTTCCTGACGCTCCTGACAGAAGTCGTCGCATCTGTCTCCCCGAAACCTCCGTACCTGCGACTTGCCCTCGCAAGCATTTGCCGGGTAATGCGGGTTGCCCATGTGCATCAGCCGAGCATCACTGCCACGGTTCCAGTAATCCCGGCGCTGCGCACCTTCCTCGCCTCGAGTCTCGCATATCGACACAGATACTAACACAAATGCTTCGCAGACTCTTGCATCCGTTGCTTTGGGAACTCCGACCAATGTCTGAGCAAGCGGCAAAGGATTCCCTGGATCACCATGTTCTCCTGACTTCCAACACTCGCAATCACAACCAACGACCAAAAGAGAAGACATCCTCTGATCCGCAAAGGCTTCATCAAAAACGTCGCATGAGACAATCGCGCCGAGCTTCCACAGGGACCCCTCCAAGTTTGGCTCCCTCCCGACATTGCAGGGAGCCCTTGACAAAGATCCCGTGAGACTTTTCGTCGTCACTACCGGCGAGGGATTGCGTGATCTTCTCGGCATCCACTGCCGTCAGCTCTACGATCCGTTCGTGGCCTCACGAGGTTAGAGTTAGAGCGACAGAGACGGAGACGGAGTGGGTCTTTGCAGTGGCCAAGCGAAGACACTCAGACAAACCCTCCCGTAATGAACAACAAGCTGCACGTGGTGGCCACCTCGGCTCGGAGTCAAAACTGCTCAGCGCCAGAGGGCGAAGGCAACTCCACTCTCCGGGTGCCCGGGGATCGTGCGATGATGAGCTCGGGAGTGACGTCGTACATGTTCTTCCGGCCCGTTCCCCGGGTCGTGGGGCCTTGAAGCCACTCTTTGTGGTCCTTGCTGCAGAAAGCGTGTAAGGCAAGGCTGCGCACACTTTCGGCCAAAAGCTCCTCCACGAGGCGCAACAGATCATCCAAGCGAAGGCCTCTCGGCACCTGCTTCGGAACGGCTGGGAATGGTTTGACATGTTTTCACCAGCATGAAAGCCGTGCGGCATCGCACACAAACGGAAGGCATTCCTTTCCTCTAGAGAACTTGCTGGCCTGGTCGATTGGCACTCCCACCTGGGTTCTCCGTCGCAGTCTGTATCAAAATAAAACATAAGGCTGGGCCGGACGCCTCTTCGGCCGCGACCGCCTTGGAGCTCCCGTGGAAGCCGTCAGCTGCCGGCACCGGCCCTGGATTCCATGCACACGCAGCCCTGTGCCGACCGCCCGGCACCATGCAGGGCCCTGGCTCGGCGCCGGGCCTCCCCCACCGTCGGATGCGGTTTGTTCAGGGCTTGCAGCCTCGTGCAGAAGATGGAGGCTCTGCTTCAAAAGCTGGCCTCAGATTCGGGGGCCTTCGAGGTGCAGCACGTTGGGAAGATCTTCTGCCAGCCCCCACACCAGAACTCACTTCAACGTCCACCCCCCGGCATGCCTTTTACGCTTCCAGTCTCCGTGCACTGAGGCGATGTCTACGAGGCTCTGCGACGACAGTACGGATGAAGACAGCTTCAAGGCCTCAAGGTCAGCTTGAACGCCAGCTGCCGGAGTCTTCTGAAGACTATCTCTCTGCTCCTGCCGGGCGTGGGCCAGGCTGAATTCGAGTAAAGCCCTATCACTCGTAGCAA